AGGTAGTAGTTTAGAGTGATGAAAGCTGCAACCCGATACACACCAAGTGGGAATAGGCACTACTGAAAACAATGGGGTTTAGAATTGCAGAGTCAATGGTATGATGAGATGTATCTTCTGAGCGATTGAGTGTGCTGCTTTATATGTAAACATGGCTTGAAATAGTTTACTCTTAAATGAAGGAATCTCAAAGGACAGCTCAACCACATTTAGCTTACGAGATCAGTTTTTCCACGGATGGATCACTTTGGGTTCCTTCCCCCTACCCCATTTCCACTCCCTCTTAGCTGAACAGTTTGACAGCACACAGCACTTCCCCCTTGCTGGCTCAGAAAGCAGGCGAAGTGATTTTCACACGCTTATTGTGTGCTGGTGTTCCCACTGCCTTAAATTTCATACACTCTGAAATGTTAGTATTACAATAAAACAGGCTTTTGGGTGGAATACTGATATGCTAGGATCTTGGTATATTATATAAGGAGTTTATAGCAGATTTCATTGAACAATTCCCTTGTTATTTAGCATTGTGAAAATATCTGTAGAGTACTTTATGAACTCATTTATTGTGGAAATACTCTTGTTATGTGCCTGATAATTTTGGAGTGACCCTATGGGCATTCATCCAGTAAAACCCCATAAACCAGCTTTGCAATTTGCTATTCCTAGAGCAGGCAGTTTTACTGGTCGAAAGAGAATTGATCAAGTAATGGTCTAGTATTTTGTAAAGCTGCTAACATTCTGTGCTGTATCCAGTGGTATTGTCCTGTTTGCACAATGTCTTTTGCTTTCCTAATGGAACTTACCCTCCCACCCCCTGTAAAATCCCCCTAAATCTATTCTGGGGCATGCAAGGAAAGGAGATGAAGTGGGATTATTCTATGGATAGAAACCACCAAAACCTGTTTAGTTATGGTATATGCATTAGTTTAACAAAATTTGAGTGTTTTGTTTGTAGACTAAAGTCTGTATTGCTGGCTGTTTGTGATCTTTCTAAGCATTATGAGAAAGTTGGATAGGTGGATTTTCTAAAAGCTTTTTAAATTGTATTTTTAAATCAAATTCTAGTAATATAAAAAGCAAAGGGAAAAAGAAAAGCCAAAGTGATGAGGCAGCATTGGATGATTCAGAGGAGGATGATTTTGATGACCTTGATGATGAGGAAGTGTCTCTGGGTAGTATGGATGAAGACTTTAGAGAAGATCTTGATGAAGATGGAGGGACTTTTATGGATGTCTCAGACGATGATAAAGCTCCAGGTAAAAACACGAATGCACTTAATGCCAAATTATTAAATTGCTCGCTTTGTTAAAACACAGATTTTAAATGCCATAGGTAGGTAGCTATTTTTAAACCTACTTGTTTGTCTTAGTGTTCCACCAGATATTTATGTGATTTAGCTGGAGCAGAAGACCACATAAGTTAGGTGTTGTGGTGGACAGATCCGAAGGATGCATGTGCCAAGGCTGATAACGAATCATCAGAAATAAGTGTTGCATCTACTCTTGCATCCTGTAGAGCAGTGTTTCCCAAACTTTAGTCTCCAGCTGTTTTTGGACTATAACTCCCATCATCCCTAGCTAGTAAGACCAGTGGTCAAGGATGATGGGAATTGTAGTCCAAAAACTGCTGGAGACCCAAGTTTAGGAAACACTGCTCTAGAGCCTAATTTCATGTTAACACTGGGTCACATTAACACTGTTGACTAAACTAAAATGACAGTAATTGGACCAAGGTGTAGTATTTTTATGTGCACCAAGCATGGTTGAATGAACGGTGCTGTCCTATTGCATTTTCAGTATTCAGAAACACACTGTAGAAACATCTGAGCTGACTAGGAGTAGCTGTTTTGTGGAGTCCATACATAGGAAGTGAGATAACCACAATGTTTCAGGCAGTTGGTTACTTTCTCTGCATGAAAGCTGAAAGTGTTTTCATACTGACAAATCATCCATTTTATGATGTAGTCTGAGTAAAAGTTTTAATAGCTTTCCTTTTTGATAGATGACAATAAAGAGGAGCATGTCAAGCCTGCCAATAAGAAAGGCAAAAGAAAAAAAGAAATGGATTTTGCTGGATCGTTGAAAGGTAACATAAAGACCTCTTAATATTTGATAAAAACTGAGACAGCCTTGGGTGTCAGAAGGCTGAGGGGTTTTGTAGCAGCCTGCCTCTCTGCTAGAAATGTGACTTGTCACTAGTTTGCATTCTTTTCACTCAGAATTGTGAATAGTTTCTGAGAGCGCCAGGGGTCTGTATTAGCTGTGCTGGCTAGATATAAGGCACTTGAGCTTCAATCCTATATCCTCTTTCCTAGAAGTAAGCCCTACTGAACTCAGTGGTATTTACTTGGGCTTCTATTTGTATAGGATTGCACTGGTCATTAATAGACCCGTTAAAGGAAAATGATGCAAGAGACAGAATTTACTCACCTAATCACATTGACTTTTAACATTCTGTTTTGGTTAGTGTCCGAAAATCTGCATGTCCAGTTTGAGGAAGGAGAGGTAGGAATGAACTATAAGGTATTAAGAAACCCAGAGCAGTGTGTAGTTGTTATGGGGGAGACAACATGTGGTTGTGATAGAAAGTGCACTTATTCTTTGTCAATAAATAATTATTTGATTTTCATTATCAGACACAGAAAACCAGATGGAAAGGATTAGTTCAGTTTTCAGCAGGATAGAGTTTTCTTTCAGCTGTACACCTGAAGTCTTATCAGAGATGACAAAGGATAACTGGTTTAGAACTTGATTTTAAAAATGCAGTGGTTAGATTATATTAGCCCAAGCTCTTAAAGAACTAGCATGTAAAACTGCTAAGGTACTTTATAGTTAGCAAAATCCCTTTCCGTACCTAGAGGAATAGTAAGTGGTAGACTATTTGATACCAGGGACAGTGCTGTCAAGAAAGTTAGAGATCATTTGTTTATAAAACATTGAGAAAATGTTTTTAAAAGGATGGAGTTTTGAAATATAGCACCTTGTTGCAGATAGTGTAGAAGAGCCTGAGAAGTTCTTCTTGGGAGTCTTTTCCTGTTTCCTGCTCAAATCCATTCCCCACCCAACACACACTTTGCGTTTTGTTCTTCATGTAGAATAAATAATTGCATATTCATGTTTTAAAGGGTCAAAAGAAAACAAGAAAAGAAAACTCAAAGACACTGGCATCCTTGCTACTGCAGAAGAAGTAGGTGCCACCAAGTTTTCTATTTTTTAAAATGTGTTTGGTCTGCTGGTTATCAATATACTAATCATCATCTTTCTTTTGAAGTTTGGTTCCTTGCTGGATGAAAACATTGGGTCCAAGTTTGATAGTATTGGGATGAATGCAATGGCTAACAAAGATAATGCAAGTAAGTGAATTTCCCTGTGTTCAGCAAATATATTTACCTGTCAGGCATTCCAAATGCTCATGTGATGGTTTTAGAAAGGTATTTCAATTAGTTACATTTGAAACAAATGGAGGAGCATATTGATTTCTATCCTCCTCTTTCTCCCAAGTGTACCTTCTCTTCCCCAGTGCCACCCCTATGTGCACTGCACACTTCATGTCCCCATCTGTCCTGTGTTGAGCCGGAAAGTCTGAAAAGAGCTTCTAAGTGTGTTCTGAAGGGTGCTTCTAAATGCCTTCTAAGGATTCCTGCTCAAGAGGAAGTTGATTCACTCCAGTGCATTTAGAAGCCCTCTTCAGACCTTCATGTTCAACTCGGGAAGGTGGCTGGGATGCATCTGGAGCACACAAAGCCTTCCCACTTTGAGCCTCATGGGATCCTGTTGGATAGGAATCCAGAGGGCTTAAGATTCCAGTTATATCCTCCCATATCCAAAAATTACATGGATAACCCAATTCCAGTGTATTGCATTATTTATAGGATGTCTAGAAACTGGCATTTGAACCTTACAGAACACGACAGAACTAACTCTCGATGGACTTGACAGTCATATAACTAACTGTTCAGTCTACTAAAGTAGAATTAGACCTTTGTGTATTATCTCCAGCTGCTCTCTTGCAGCTTTCTCAAAAAGAGAGCTGCATGGTCAAATCCAGAATCATGTCAATTCCCTTTTTCCCAATTACTACCTCCCACTGTGAACTTGGCTTAATTTTGTGCAGATTATTCTTGTCTTAGTCCTGTAGTCTAAAACACAGTTTAAATTTCTGAAAAGCATTCTCATATAAGAAATTACAACAGGTTCATTATGCCTGTAGTACAAGTCAAATGACAGGGTAAATTTGCCTGCACTCTTTGGCCAGATGAGAGCCTGTGCTGTATGGCAGCTTGTAATGACTGTACTAATGTTTTATGCAGCATTTTCAAGCAGATTAATGAAGATAGGTCCTAAGCATTTATACATCCAGTAGGGCTGAGTTTGTCACTTTTAGACAAAGTGGATCACAATTGGTACTTAAGATATTATTGGAACATCCCAAAATGGAAGTGAGCCACTAACTGCTATGTCGCCCAACACACAGAGAAGTATTGATCGAGCTGGTAGCACAGTAACCAAACCTTCTTAAATTCCTATTCTAGGTAATCTTTTTGAACAGACTGTTCAGCTTGCTATCATAAGTGGGCACTCATCCGAAGCATGTTAAATGGAATTTGAAATAAATTGCTTGGTTATGCACCACCACCTAAGATTTCAGGGGTGTGTGTGTGTCAAACAAATATTTTGCTCCATCCCTTTTATGCAAGGATTCCACCCTGTGCTTTAACTTACCAAAAAACATGCTTCTTTGGAAGCTATATGATCAACTTAATTTGCCAATGGTACCATGGATGAAATTTACCAAAGGCAATTCGTTTATGGAAATTCCAGTTGTACATGGTATGTTGCTGGATTTTGGGCTCTTGCTAATAACTTTTAAAAATCCTTAAGTTTGCATTTGTAGAAAAGTATATCATGATTAGCACTGAATCTTCAACTTGATATAATTCATTCCTCATTGGCCCAAATTACATTTAAGTTTGAAAAATGTAAGTTGTTTGAGACAAGATGGACTGTTGAATGGAGGGAACTTTGTATTTATTTGTACATAAAGCATTTTGTGTTTTTTAGGACAAAACATAGCAGAGAGTTTGTCGGTCATGAATCTCTAACTCAGGCAGTATTCTTTGCATCCATAAAACTCAATGCCAGATTTTTCTAGGACGTAGTCACTCCAAACTTATCTATGTGCTCTCTGTCTTCCTCCATTAGATGTCAAACAGCTCAGGTGGGAGGAAGAACGCAACAGGTGGATTCACAATAAGGATGTGAAGAGCATCATCAAGCAGAAAAAGAAGTTTAGACACAAAATGCTGAAAAACAAACACAAAAGTAAAAAGACAAGAAAATAAATATTTTAATGTAAACATTTAAAAAATATTTCTACTTACAATTAGCTTTTGCTGATTAACCATGCTGCTTGATCTTTCTCCCTTTTTCCATGAAAACCAGCGTATTCATTACATTTGTAATAAACTATGAAAATAGAAGAGAGTCTTTTTTATCTTTTGCACAACTGAAAGAAGATTGACTTTTGAAGATCTAATTTTGATTGAATATCTTTCTGATAAAATTGTAGTAGGATTTCCTTTTTATCCGCACCGGATTTTTTTTTTTTAAGTGCTGGGGGAAAAGAATTACACCAACATTAATTATCACATACCTTCTAGGATTGATGGGTATCTCCTATGCATTTTTTGTCTGAAATCTGAGAAAATAAAAATGTTAAGTTTGTAACAACAGTACAGTGCACAAGATTTCAGTCACAAAAATTAAGTAGTGTACATTTTATTACATGGTGGCTACATTTCCTAGGTTTTTTTGCTCAGTCATAAATACCTGTGGTAATCTTACAGGTAATGCAGCAACTTGGTTGTTTAGCCTCCTCAGGCTGTATTTCCAGTTGAAGACTTGCAGAACTTAGGCTTGTCACATTGGGCACAAAACTTGAAAAAGGGAAGGCTATCAGACTCATGTATATTTTAAAATCTCAGTGGTAGGAAGTCTTAAGATAACACAAATTAATCTTTTAACACATTGCACCACTGGTCTAAAACATCACAGGGGGATGTATAAAGTTCTCATTGTATTGAGATCTGTAGGGAGGGCAGTGCCTTGCCCTTCGGCTGCTCTCATATCTAGAATGTGCCCTACCTTTCACTTTAAAAGTGGCATAGTGGAGGTTGTCATGGTCTATCTCAGTTTAAGGAAGAACAGGTGGTGGTGGTTGTTTTTTTAAAGGTGTGCCACAGAGTTCTATTACAATAGTAACTCAAATTCTCCTCGTCTATCCTGAGCATTTCCTACCCAGATACCAATGTAATGCTTGTTGTAATGTGCAAAAGTATCCATGCCAGATAAAGCATGGAGGAAGCTTTTTTCCGTTACATGAGTATACAACTCCTCCACCCAAAGGAGCCCTGTTCTTACGTTAGTACACAGAAGTGAAAATAGGATGCCTGAATGTGAAATATCAGTCTAGGTTGGGAACAAAGACCTGCACATATCAGCACTGCCGAATCAGCGCCAGGCCTATCCATGACAAGCAGGGAAGATCTGAAATAAGCTTCTACACATTCTTCCTTGATTGAAAGTACATGCCTCTGTGCAACTGAACCTAGAAAAGTGTTAAAGTGTGAAATGTGCATACCTGGCATAGGCAGGGTTTGTGTGTGCAGCCCCATGACCCCTATGCAAATAGATGTTTTCTGTTCAGAGACAATGCCTGTGAAAAATTGCTGGTGACTGGTAGTATGATACATGACAACCTAAGCAGGCTAAATCCTGAGACCTACTGTAGTTGAAATAATTCCAAAAACTGAAGAGCTGTTCCAAACAAACAGCTTAACAGCTATATCGGGAATTTTGCAGTAAAATTAGAGAATGCCACCTTCAAGGAAAACTTCCTAATAGGCAATGGATATAGTTACTCAGAGGGGATGCGGGTGGCACTGTGGTCTAAACCACAGAACCTAGGACTTGCTGATCAGAAGGTAGGCAGTTTGAATCCCCGCGACGGGGTGAGCTCCCATTGTTCGGTCCCAGCTCCTGCCCACCTAGCAGTTCAAAAGCACATCAAGTGCAAGTAGATAAATAGGTACCACGCCGGTGGGAAGGTAAACAGTGTTTCCGTGCGCTGCTCTGGTTCTCCAGAAGCAGCTTAGTCATGCTGGCCACATGACCCGGAAGCTGTCTGCGGACAAACGCTGGCTCCCTCGGCCTATAGAGCGAGATGAGTGCCGCAACGCCAGAATTGTCTGTGACTGGACCTAACCTTTACCTTTTTATAGATGCTCAGTAGATAGAATGAATGTAAATGAGTGAGTTCAGAAAGAATGTGTAATTATGTTGGTTATAATACAAATACTGAAATTCCTAGTGTGTTTTCTAAATTTTGCAAATGGAAATAGGCTACTCTGCTTAGTCTTCCATTTAAGAAATGAACTAGATTTCAATGTATGTCCTACTTTTATGTGTAAATAGCACTAATATTCTTATGACTGCAAATTCTCTGGTCAAAACGCTCTGTGGATTGACAGTTAATTTGAAAAAGTAATGAGACACATAGTTTGTTACCTTGATTATTATCCATTTTAACATATAGTGCATATGCGCTAGCAACTCCGATAATTTCCACTAATATAACTCCTTTGAAAATCTTCCTTCCAAGCTCAGGATTCATGGCACAGCTAGTCCCAAGTTCTAGAAACAGAGGGGAACAAACATTTCATTAATGACATAAAAATGTTATCAGAACAGGAAATAACTGATTTGTATATATGGTTTGATCAGAGGGATACTGAAGTATATTTGAAGAGAGGCCCCAACGGGCTATAAAAGGAGAAGAGAGAACTAGAGGCAGGATTTGCTTTCCACTTACTGTGCTCTGCTGAAAGTTCCAGTGCTTTCTCTTAATATTGAACATGTACTTATTCAGACAGTCATCCTTTGCTACATGGAGAATGCTGACAACTGTGTAGCAGCTCAGAGGCTGTGCTGTGAATTAAGAATCTATCAGTTGAAAATTTAGCTATGGCCTTTAAAGTTGAAAATTTAGGTGGCCTTTTAAGCATACAACTCTTGAGTCTGCAATAAGGGGAAACTTAACTTGACATAGCTGATTTTTAAAATCATGAATGAGAAGTACTTTGAACAGTCTTCAAAACTTTGGACTCCAAGGTGTTACGGTAAATGCAATTTCTAGAGTAGCTGTGACAGGCTATTTCAGCAAACAAAAGGATTCTTGTGGCACCTAAAAGACTAAATATTTTATTATGACAAGCTTTCGGAGGACTAGTCAATAAAAACCGATGTTTCAATAAAGTGATTGTCTTTGTTGGAATTTGTGCTCAAAGTAATGAAACATGGTAAGGTTCCTGTCTCCTGAGGATTCCGTACATGACCTCAGACACTACTGGTGAGGTTATGTATGGCTGATCCACTTACATGTTTATCATGGATTGACTGTAGAATAAAGGGATGGTGTGCATAGGTGAACCAGTTATTCAGCACAGGTGACACTTTCAATTTATCCAACTTGAAGTCAAAAACAATATTCAATAGACACTTTGCAGCTTGAGCCAAGAGCTCAAATTAAGCACGTATCCACTCCAGTGTACAGGGAACCAAACTGTAGCCATACTTCAGAGGGCTAACTGGGATGGTAGCTTAGCAGTGTGATCCTAACCATGAATTCAGATGGGGCTTACTCCCTGGTAAATGGTGATAGGATTGCAGCCTTGATTTCCTACACGGAATGAATCTATGTGCTGCAAATGGTATACCATCCTATGTGCAGTTTGACACGAATGGTGAAAACATGTCTGTTATGTTGCATAATAATAATAAAAAATTATTTGTACCCCGCGCATCTGGCTGGGATTCCCCAGCCACTCTGGGTGGCTCCCAAAAGAATATTAAAAACAGGATAAAACATCAAACATTAAAAACTTCCCTAAACAGGGCTGCCTTCAGATGTCTTCTAAAAGTTGTTTAATTTCTTGACATCAGATGGGAGGGCACCACTACCTAGAAGGCACTAATTGCATAGTGGACTGCATTATCATTTAAGGATCTTTTAAATGATATTATTTAATAATCTTGCAACGTTTTTAAGTTCTGTGGGTTTTGTTTGGTATTGTATATGGGTGTTATTTCTTTCCCCCTCCTTTTCCCTTCCCCCTTTTCGCATCTTACTTTAACCTGTGCAATTATACACACACACACACATACCGTGTTTATGGAAGACAATCTTACTCGGCTACGAGTGATCGCCAAAAAAGAAAGATGATTTATATATAAATTTGTATATATAGTTAGAACTGCAGGGGATCAACTAGAAGCACAACCTGTGCAATTTCCCTTACAGAAGTCACCTGAGCTTCCAATGGGCGCATCCAATGAGCCAGTCTAGGCAGCCGAAGGCAGGACAAGAAGCATCTCTCCTCCTCCCCATGGAACTGCTATCGGCCTACCCTCGGCTGGCCACGTGACTTCAGCCCGCCCCCGCCCCCCAACCAGCAGAGCAGACAAGGCAGGAACAAAAGGACTTCCTCCTTTTTTTGCTTCTTCCTCTTAGAGTCACTTTCGCTGCTCATATTAATATACAAAGGCTGCAGCCGTACCTCGCCGTCTCCAAATGTGAGAGCGGCGCTTTACCGCCGGTAACAAACGCAAAGGCGCCCGACCCGACGCGGCTCCCAGCACCGTGTCCGCCCTTGCGTAGTCCAGACCCACTTCCGGGGTGGAAGTGCCGAGGCACGCATGCGCATGGGCGCGCGGCACCTTCATTTCGCGCATGCGCTCAGCCTTCGTTCCTTCTCGCCGGTGCTGGAGAGTTCGCGCTGTGCTCCCTCTGTCGGTTCTGTTGGGACTGGCCGTGTCACTGTGCTGCCTGTAGGTGGCAGTGTAACGCAGCTGTGTGCTGCCGATCCACATAGAGGAAGGGGAAGCCTTCCTGCTACCAGCGGCTTCTGGAGTGCAGAATTTCCCGCCGCAGCTGAACATAGGAACGTCGGCAGCTGCCTTATACGGAGTCAGTCTTTTGGCCCACGCACTGCAGAGAACATTCACAGCCCTTCCCAGAGATACAGGGAATTGAACCTGACATCTTCTGTATGCCAAGCAGTTGCTCTGCTACTGCGATCTTCTGCAAGCTCATGGAGCCAGAGTACACGCGTGTAGGAAAGATGGGGCTGTAAAGTCACTTGCAACCCCCAGCTAAAGTTAACAGCAACGAACTTTAACTAGATCGAGGCCGATTAAAACATTTTGTAGAAAAGAGTTTGCTTGGTTTTATTTTAAAATCTTCTTTTAAGTTTCAAGATGCCCATCAAAACAATGCAATTCAAGTCAACAAGTAGAATGGATATAATAGAGAAGTATCATGAGGTGGAACCAACGAACCATCAGAAAATAATTGCATGGTACATTGCACAGTTAAAGAGTTAAAGCATTATGTAACAGCTAGAGAGAATGTTTGCGCTATAGTATTGGAAGGTAAAATTGAGAGTAATAACAACAACAACAATAACAGCAATAATAACGCCGCCCATCTGGCTGGGCTTCCCTAGCCACTCTGGGCGGCTTCCAACAAAATATTAAAATACAGAAATGCATCAAACATTAAAAGCTTCCCTAAACAGGGCTGCCTTCAGATGTCTTTTAAAAGTCTGGTAGTTGTTCTCTTTGACATCTGGTGGGAGGGCATTCCACAGGGCGGGCGCCACTACCGAGAAGGCCCTCTGGCTGGTTCCCTGTAACTTGGCTTCTGACAGTGAGGGAACCGTCAAAGGCCCTGATCCTCCCTCTGCTCTGTTGAGCGCTTGATTTGCAGGCAGAAAGTCCCAGTTTCCATCCCTGATATCTTCTGGGAGAGCTGGGAAAGGTCAGTCAGCTAGGAAGATATTGAGATAAATGGGCCAATGTTATGACTTGGTCTAAAGCAGCTTACTATGTTCTAAAAGCGAAAATACCACCAAAAAAGATTTATACACACACACACACACACACGCACACGGCGCTCTGGCACTTGTCACAGTGTTCTCTTGTGCCAGAAGCGGTTTAGTCATGCTGGCCACATGACCCAGAAAGGCCCCCATTCTCTCTTCTTAACTGGATAGCCCTTGAAATAGACGACTGCCTTTGTGTGAACACATGGGCATCCTAGTGACCATGGTGTGAGAAACTTGATACCTGGCACTATTATGTAACTCTGAATTTAATACATTGTCCGGTAGTACCTGTTGAATTAGTTTTTGCATGTCTTTTACTTTGTAGAGATGCCTATGCTCTTTGCTTTCAGCAGGGATTATCTGAAAGGGTGAAAAGTATTTCCAGTACCTAAGGTGGGACAAGTGGGTTGGTTTTCATTTCAAGAGAATAGGCTCAAGGAAGCTGATCTGATATGGTTGGCTTGCTCATAAAATGCAGAAAACACAAAAGGATAAGCCCAAAGCTAAATAAGGTTTACTCCGCCCTCAAAATGCCTTCTTTAAAGGCCTTGGCTGTCCTAGCAACCCAGCAGTAGCTCACAACGAAGAAGGCAAAGATGGCTGAGAAAACTTTTGTCGAGGAAATAGAGAAAGCTCTGGAAAAGTCCAAAGGCCTTAGCATCCATGAGCTTCTCTTTACCTACCAGGGAATCCTCTACCCGTCTTCTGTCTGCAGTGCAGAAACATTCCAAGCTCTGGAGAACTTCGAAGCCAGAAAAGATGATGTGGTGTTGGTGTCTTATCCCAAATGTGGTGAATACAACCTTCCATTATTTTTCTACATACAGCAATGATGTCATGAGCAATGCAGCAGACTGATGGGTGGTTTTTTTTAGTACTGTATAAGGAAAGCTATTAGCTAGCACTGCTGAGGGTAGTGTGCACTAGCACAGAAGTTGCCTTTAACTGGTTTACAGAGCGGGTCACACCAATAAGCTTATTATTTTCAATACATCTGAAACCTGTTGAAAACTAGACCACCTGCTCTTCCATTATTGCTACTTGTGCAAACCATTGAAAATGCACTTAAAGCCTTAAGGCATTTCAATAAAAATGCTTTGCATTTTTTAAGGCACTATCCAACTGAGTTTGGAGTGTACAAAGCCAGAGAGACAATGTCCTTGTTTAAATGTCACAACCAAACCATGTGTCGGGTTTGTGCATTCTTTCCTCCCTTTTCTCCTTCTTCCTTATGTTCACACAGATTTCCTCCCCTTCCCCCACTTTGTTGCTCACAGTAGCCTTTCTTTCTTTGTCTGAATGGTTGTCACAAACCATAGTTTGTCTCCAAATCAGAACTGGAGGCTGACTGTGGTTTGCAGTAATCATAGGACTCAGCTATACAGCTTCAAATAAAATGTTTTAAGTGTGTTTTAAGTGCAAGATACAATGTGACACTAGATAGCGATGGTGAGTCATACGAAAAATTCAATGTATTTTTTAAAAAACTCTTTAAAAGTACATTTTCAGAAGGTTTTTTTAAAAAATGTGTGTGTAAATTCCACCATAGTTTGACCAGGTTTGGATGCCACAGCAAATGATGGCTACCAGGAAGTACGGGAGGAGAGCATGGTTTTCACAAGTGTGAGGCAAAACTCAAGAGTTGGTGGTGTTTTTTGGGAGGGATAGTAGATTATTCAATATTTTAGTGGCTGTATTACAAAGAAGATATATTTTTTAAAATGAACATGTAGTAGAGTAAAAGCCTGAACCAGTTTACTGTAATGTTAAAAACTGTTAAGAGTTTCGTTCTTTTTAGAGGTGGCACAATATTAAAACTGAACACTTCTATTTGAATATTTATTGATTTGAAAAACAGTTTCAACCTGTCATTATAACAAGCTTAAAACAATACTGCAGAATGATTTATTTGTGAGACCTTGACCAAGCACAATCATGGTTATAAAGCTGGTCTTGAGCCTATAGGCAGGGGCAGCGACCATGGCTCCCTCCAGGTGTAACTGGATCCCTGATCCCCTCAGGCTCAGTCAGCATAGCCAATGGTCAGGTGTGGTGGGAGTTGTAGTCCAGCAACATCTGAAGGGCACCACATTTGCTACTCCTGCTCTAGTCTCTCAGATATATGGCCGTGTGCCTTCCTTAAAGAAAAAAGGCATGAATTTCTTTCATAAGAAAGCACCTATGGGCATGTATTGTCACTTGTCTTCTTGTCACTTGGAATTAAAGGGCTGGCTTTCCTCAGAAGGCAGACAGCACTTCTTTTGAATCTCCAGACAGCATTCTGGGAATATAGCCACCCATCAATTCTGAAATGTCAACTCTTCCATGTTATGATGGTACTTCTCTACAATGTGTAAAAGTTAAGCTGGTGTGCCAGGGCTGGGGAACCATCAACTTGGGATGGTGAAATGTCCACCATAAGGATTACAAGCATTCCACTTATTTGTTTGTTCCAGGTATTAATTGGCTCATTCTGATTGTGAATGATCTGATCGCTACCACTTTGAAAACCAAGCATGAGAACACAGAGCTACCTTTCATTGAGTGTGGGGATCCAGAAAGGTATCAGGTTAGTAAGACACAAAGCCTAGCCTCCAAAATCAGACACTTCACTCACACACATGCGTTACTCACACTGAAAGGAAGTAAGGGAACACGGGCAAACCTGCCCAACTGGTGACCCACCAAGCCAGGAGTAATCCATCAGCCATGTCTGGCAGTTTACCAAGTGCTCAGTAGTGATCCTGATTTTGTTGTCATTCTGAGATAACGAAGAAGCATGGTAGCGGTGGTGAAGAACCTGGGGCAACACGGAACATGGCTGTTGTGCTCAGCCAATGGTGAGATGTAAGTTCTGCTGGTTTATCCTGGGAATTCCAGTTATTCCAACTGCCTTTTGATTAATATGTGTCAACAGAGCCGATCATTTTCATGTATGTCTGAGTCATCCATTTGATGCTACTTTTCTGTTCTTTTTTTATTTTAAAAAAGAGGATGAAACAGTTCCCATCTCCAAGGATTGTAGCTACACACCTCCACTACGACCTTCTTCCCAAGTCCATCTTCAAAAATAAAGCCAAGGTAAGTGGTATAAGATCAGCTTCTTTAATTTGTCAGGAAACATTTGCAGAAGTGACTCACAACTGTAAAGCAATCAACAGTTCATGGGAGCCTTGTGGGCATTGTGAGATGTTTCTGGTGCTGGATATTGGTAACAAGACAAGACGAGAGGTTTAGTAGGAAGGAAGCATTGGGCCACTCCTTTAGTCAGCCACAAATAAAGAGGGGGGAACATGTTGTAAAGTGCATGGGGCAGTCATGAGTTTTTATAATACCAGATGTTTCTAGAAACATAATGTATCACAATGGGCTCATGCTCCAACCTTCAGAGGATGTGAAACCAGAGAGACTGGAGTGCCTGAGAATGTGCTTTTTGAAAGGACTCATGACATAGTTCTTTCTGGCCATTATTTCAGCCTTCGCTTCTCTTACAAAAGAATAGCTTACTTCTAGTTGAAGTTTAGGTAGCCCAAAGTGGCATTGTTTTTGTTAATGACAGGAGGAGTTAAAATTTATGTCCTGTTTTCTCACCTCAGGTACTGCTGCTATTTCGAAATCCTAAAGATACGGCTGCATCATTTTTCCATTTTCACAACAATGCTCCTAGCATTCCCAGTTATAACTCCTGGGAGGAATTTATTTCACTTTTTATGAATGGGCAAGGTACTCTATTAATACTTTTGAATGGATTTGGGAAATTAAACCTCTTGTGAAAACATGTGGACTATATTCAAGCTCTACCAAGTTTGCTGACAGTAGTGCTAGCAGGGGAAGACTTGGGTTTTGCCCACGATAATTGTGGTTTGCAGTTTGAATGGCTTTTTAGCAATGGAGATACAATCTGGAAAGGGAAGCCTCTGTGTGCCTTGACTGGTGAACATGGGCTGAAAACTGATGATAGTTGTTGAGAGAGGTGGAATAATGATAGAGGC